CTTGCTTCCTGCATCCTCCGTTAGTCCCATTCTCCGCGGCCGCAGCCGTGGCCCACCCCCTCTGCCTGTTGCGTGCCGCCGCCGTGTTCGCTCCTGCGCTCGGACGGGCTTGCGCGCCTCATCCTGCTAGCCAAGAGAGGCCTCCTCGACGAAGGAGGGCCGTCAGGATCCCGATCAGTTTACCGGCATCCCTCAGTCCGTGCGTGCGTGCGCGCCGTCCGCCGCCTCCGCCCGTTTCGACCGTGGATCACGTGCGTCCACGAGGCAACCGGGCAGTTAAAACTCTGGCCGAGCGGAAGTGACCCCCCGGGATGTCCACGGAGAGCTTCCGGTACCACGGAGCAACGCCTCGCGATCCGTGACCAGCCCTCGAGATTATGAACTGCCTCTTCGGGGATTGCGTCGCAGGTTTGATCATTAATCCCTTTGACGGAGATTCGGTGGACCGTGTCGTCGTCTGTGGATCTTCGTTCTCTTTTAGTTCCCTCGTTTGCTGTTAATTTTTCCTGCGAAACAGGTGTCGGGTTTGGTTGTAAATCCCTTTGATGGCGACTCGGTGAACCGTGCGGTTAGAGTTTGTGGATCTTTGTTTTATGCAGTCTTTTCGATCGTTGATTCTGTCGCGAAGGTGTTGGGTTTGGTTAATCCCTTTGACGGAGACTCGGACTATGGGATTGCCGCTTGTGGATTTATGTTCTGTTAGCTTCTTTTGCTTCATTTTGCGAAAAAGATGATGAATATCCGCTGCTAGGTCAACTGTGTGGCTATCGTTGTGAATTTAAAAAATTTTACTTGTTTGTTGTAAATTTCTCACGAGAAAGGTGTCGCGACGCAGGTTTAGCAGTCCTTGGTTATGGCCTTTGTGAACCACGCAGTTATCGTGGATACTTTTTAGTCTTCTCTGCGCGAAAAAAGTGTTCGGGGTTTGCAAATAGTACCTTATCAAAGCATATCTAGGTGAATTGTGCAAGAAAGGCAATATCGCACTGCAAGTTCACCACTAACGTCCTATCAAAATGTGTTTTGACTTCCTGTCTCCATTTTTCTGCATATTATAAGTTTCGCCATAGTTGTCACGTCATAGTTTGTCATCGTTAATCCCTCAGCTCAAGCTTTCTCCGGCGACCCACGAGTTGCCATCGCATTTCTCAAATTTCCGTTGTTTATTTGAAATTCTCGCGGAAGGAAGGCGTCGCTTTGCGGATTTATCATAAACGCTTTGATCAGAGCGTGCACCGGTGAGCCGATTTGTGGATTTCGTTCTCGATTTTCTTTTCCACCCTAAATCGTTGCTCGAGGAAGGTGTCACGTCGCCGGGGATTCGATTTCGTGCAAGTTACACCGAAGTTTCTGTGAATCGATGTATCCTGACGAGACTCGATGGAGAATTTATGTAAGTTCCTGCGAGTTTCGCAGCTACTCCGCTACTCTGTGCCGCTGATAACTCGATTGTGGCCGTGGTAATGGAAGACTCCTGCGAAAGTGTGAAAACCTTAAGAGAGCTCGCCGCGAGTAAATTAACACGTATCGGAAGCTCCCTCAGAGAATTATGCCCTTCTCGCGATGAGCTTCGGAAACGGTTCACCGACGCCGTTGGACATTTTGATATTTTTTCGAGCGACAGAGGCTGTGGCTTTGACGGCTGCGGTTGAAGTGAACGGTAAACTTTCGGTTGGCGCGATCATTCCGTCTGGACACGCGACAGTTTTTCTGGCGGCCGTACTGTCACGCGGTCGGGACTGTTCAACCCTTATGTTCTGTTGATATAATAGTCACGTTCGATACCGCGTAACTGTGCCAACGTTGGAGGAGAATCAAACTGTATGTCGTACAGAATTGAATTGAAATACTATGAAATAGAAGTACGTTGATTCTAGGAAAAGTGAACGTGGGAAATTTGTTTAAATGTTTCTATGGAATAGTTAATAGAAGTTGGCTAGGTCACGTTAACAGTTACGGTGTTGCATATGGCAAGAACAGTAGAAAAGTGTACATTCTCTTCGAGAACTTTTGTATATGAACTATATTTTGTTGAATAATTATTACCATTTTTAATTATACAATTTTACTTATAATTTCCAAATTTTTATGTAAATTATAATATTCTGTTACGTAATGATTGCCATTTCTAATTATGTAATTTTACCTATAATTTTTTCGACATTTTATTCGGTAGAAGGGTGTCAGTTTTCGTAAGATGCACTTTTGAAAAATTTTTAAGTTAAAGGGAACGTTCTTATCAATTTTTAGGGAAGGTACTTTAAGAATAGAGTATTCATGCGGACTAAAAAGAAAAATCGATTTTCTTCGCCTGCTTATATGTATGCAACCCTTTAAGTAGAATACATGAACCTCGACGTCGGTAATATATAAATGATAGTTCAAAGTATTCTTGGGAAACTGACGTTTCGTAGGCGTTCAATTGCTGAACTTTCCCGCGGGACCCGACTAATGTTCTCAAAGTACGTTATTGGTGGAACGTTCCCTTTATACAAGGGTACACTTCTGGCTGAATTTTAAAAGGACTTTCGTTGGAAATTGTCAATCCTCGGTCGAAGTAGCATAGACTTGTTAGAAATTCTGTATATTACTTGGAGATACTTGATACATGTACTTTTAAATGCATTTTATAAGTACGCATATCTGTTCAATAATATACGGAAATGTTCATTTATCGTCAATGTTGTAAAATATCGTTTTCTTTCGTTAGAAAAGAATTTTTGTTCATTAATTTATTTTAGTTAAGTTATTTTTGGTTCGCCAATAATGAGCAGTTCATTTGTTTTTCTCCACCGGTTTTATATTTTGCTTGGAGATATTTGATAAATGTATTTTTAGACTAAATTCACACGTTTGTCCAATAATATAAGTAACGTGCAGTCCTCGTGTAAATAATATATTATTGAATTCATTGAACACTCTTCGCAATTTATTTTTACTGACCTGTTTTTATTATGATGTATAAGTAAATATATAACATATATTAATAAGTGCCCTGAAAGATGGGAAAGTTATAAATAAAATCGACAATACGTAATTCAATGAGGTTTATATAATGAAAGTATAATTTTACTATAACAAAACAAAATATAAGTAAATACTTTTATTTGTATAATTGTAAGTTACAGAAAGTATTTTGTTTCGAGAAAATATTCAAAAGCTCATCGTTATAAAAATTGTCGGACCTCTTGAGTATCTTTCCCATCTAAAGCTCTAAAAAAACTATATCACATACTTTCTTCATTCAACTAAACTCATATTACTCTCAAAAATAAACATTCATTTTCTACCATTATTCATTCCCAAATACATTGCGAACAAACCTGAATATCCCCCAAGACCTCGGCAAAATTAAAAAGAACCCGTATTACGGAAGAATTACATTCATTACATCTCTAATAAAATCATGTTACGCAATCTGATAACGCAATCCCCGAACTCCAGCTAAAAACTACAGAAACCATCAAAAGAATCAAACAACACAATCCCAGAGCAATTGAAACTCATCAAAAAGCACACGAAAATAATTCGAAAGAATTACGAACTTAAAGAGTGTAACATATCCACGATTTCATAAACAACGAAACTAATTTCCCTCCGGAGGGCGTCGCGCGCTCGCAGCTTCCTCCGTCGCGTGCATCGGAGGGTTGTCCGCTCGCCGCGACTTCGGACGAGCACGTGTCTCCTCCGTTGACGGCCGAGGCAGAAATCCGTGCCGTTAATCCGTAAAGATAAACCGTGTTCGACGTCCGATGGCATCGCGAGTCTCGTCCCCGTGAAATTAATTTAATTAAACGCGGGACGCGGCGCGTAACGAGGCGGACGGGCGCGCCGCGCGTTTCGAAAACGGAAGTTTCCGGCATTCTTCAAATTTTTCCGTGCCACTCGAGCGGCTTCCGTGCTCCGCGCGGACAACGGCTCGCTCCAGAGCCCGCCCGTTCCCTCGATGGAAAAACAGCGGA